ATTTGTAGGTGACCAAATACTTATTTTCCACCATTATTTGCAAAAAAATTCTTTAAAAGTCAGACAAAATGATTTTCTCAAATTTTTTTTTCACATTTTGTCTCTCATAGTTGAGGTCTACCTATGATGTCAATTACAGGCCTCTCTCATCTTTTTAAGTGGGAGAACTTGCACAATTGCTGACTGACTAAATACTTATTTTCCCCACTGTATGTCAAGTAGTTGGCTGAGGTAAGATAAGATATGGTGTCTTTACTGTCATTGCATTATAAAAAATACAAGAATTCTCCAGGAAATACTTGCATCCCTCATCCGTTCCACTCCACACAGATAAAATTGACCATGACATTGTCTAAAATATTAAAATGCATATACAGTAACTGACTTAATTTCAGCTAGAAAGACAAAACTTTGATAGATTTATTTTTTCTGACATATACCAATAGTTGTAAAAATCATATTAATAGTTTGTGAGCTGTTAGCAGGAAACAATGTCTTTGTTGGTGCAAAAATACTTTTTCATAGTTGTCAAATCGTCGTCCGTCTTTTTTATTGATGCATCTAAATAACTGGAAATGCATTATGGGAGGCCGATTCTTTTATTGTTAGATAACTTAAAAAAAAACATTCATCGACATGACTGAAAAATAAATGAAAAAGCAGCCAATTTTACAAAAAGACCTTTTAAAAACCTGAAAACTATTGATCAAGACCACTTTAAACGGTTTAATGAAAGAGTCCTTGTTCTAGTGGAGGTTGATGTTTTTCTATTCACAGTGAACTGTTGCAGATCTGGTAAGGCTGTCAACAAGAAAAATAAAATTTATTTTTATTTTATTCTTTTCTAATTGTGCCTTTATGTCCCTTTTTGTAAATTCAGTTTTTTAAATATTGTTTTTGTTTATATATTGAATATTTTTTTGTACAACATCGACTCCTGAGCAGGGTCAAAATGCTGAGACAAGTCAACTCTAACACACGTCTCCTTCTATAATATTGAGGACCTTCTGTATTATTGCAGTATTAGTTTGTAAACATCCCATAATGTAGCTCACTCTGTAGGTTGAGGAACATCAAGCTGTGCAGAGACGCAGAAGGGCTCAGGGAGGTGTAATCTCACGTCTCGGTCGTTCTGTTACTAGTCGGTAACTGGAAGAAGAGTAGTGGTTTCTTTCCACCGTTGTTAACACTTGCATGCTCTCATGTGGAGATCCTGTTCTGAGGGTGTTGAGGGGTGTTAACCGTGATCTTTTTGTCTTTGCAGGATGTTAACACAGACTGTCGGCTTGCTCTACGTTGGCAACTACGACAGGCCTTTTGCGACGATGAGGGTGAGAAAATAAAAGTGTTGTTTTGTTGGATTCATCCATGTGCAAAGCCATCCCCACAAAGTTAACAGAGCAATAAATCCAAGGTGAACAAACACAGATTCACAATTTCCCCACTAAAACGTTTTGCAGTACTAAACCAAAATCAAACTGACTGAAAGGTGCAAAAATAATGCTTCAAGACGAGGTTGACTACTTCCACTAATTTATTCAGAACCATTTTTTATGCCTGGTGGCTTTTCATCATCGCATTTGAATTTCCTGCTTTATTTCTTGCTCCACTTCAGATTCCCATGAACCCCTAATGCACTGAAGCATTAAGACTGGCTAAATAGTTTTTTATGTCACACTGATCATCTTCTACAGCAGTGTTTCCCAAAGTTGGGGTCGGGACCCAAAGTGGGGTCCCGAAACATCAAGATAGGGTCCTGAAAAGATTTTCTGAATTAATTACATTTTTGCCTTAGTTGTTACAAAGGAGTGAGGTTAGTATGTTTAAAATGGATAAATGTAGTATAAAAATGTTGTTACTATGCCCATGTTTTGTTGACCTGATACAAATGTTTATCATCCAAAAATAGTTGTGGGCACAGGTCTCTGCTACTGTTATTTTGTGGGTCAAAAGCTGAAAAGTTTGGGAACCACTGCACTTTGGTTCCCAAAGTTGGGCTTGGGACACAATTATGAGTCATGAAGCACCTTGGATAATCTCCAGAAATCAATTTAAAGAGTAATAAAATAATTGCTGATGTAATATTTTCCCTATAATTATCACAAAAACACAAAATAAATAAAAATAAGTATTTTATTTGTGTATAAGTTGTTAAGATTGTCAAAAAGCCTGTGTTTTTAGGGTTATTAACAAAGTTTGTGTACTCGGAACAGTAATATTTGGGGTCACAAGTTTTTGCCATGGATATTTTGTGGGTCAGAAGACAAAAAGTTTGGGAACCACTGTTCTACAGAAATACTCTCCTTTTAATTTCAATCAGCTTTGTTTTCTGTTTCAAACCCTCCCACTTTGTTCTGTTTTAATTTGAGCACCCATTTATTTCTTTGTTTATTGTTATATTTTCAGTTTTCAGTAATTGAGTTAGTGTTGTAATAAGTCATCCTCCATATGTTTTTTTAAACGATCTACATGAAATCTTTGATGAAGTTCTACTTTGAGCGTCAGCTCAAATTATAAACCGTTATAGTGAGCATATTTTAATACCAGTCTTGCTGGTATAATATTAGTCTTGCTCTTCTTAAGCATATTGGGAGACAACAGTGGGTACAAAATGTTAGATTTTATACTTGCCAAAGGATTCACTTGGTGACTGTATTATTCTAAGATATTTCTAACATATTAGACAAAAGCAAGTTTTCATGTACATTGCTTGCTTGTGAGTATTTCCCTTTGTTCTTATTTGATTTAAAGTTAAAAATATTTTAGTTTTTTGTCAAACTGGAACATTGTACCTCACTCTTTAAATAATCTGTAAAGGACTTTAGTGTTTTAAAATCAAAGACAGCTTTGTTATAAATACTTAAAAGACTTCAGAAATAAAAACGTCTAAGTACATATATTGTAATTTTTTAATGTTTCGGTGTAATTTTATAGATTATCACAATAATGATATTTGCCATATATGACAAAAAAAGATTTTTGTTTAGGCTTTACTAAGAAAACCAGAAGAAAAATTGGCAGTATAAAATCATAAAATGTTAGGAAAAGAAGCTGAAAGGATGCTGGGTGAGACCATAGTTAGATGCTGAAAGACTTGAGTCATTCAGATATTACCACAGGCTCATAGAACTGCAACACAACTATTCTGCAGCAACAAAAAACAAGACAATTACATGTGTCATCTTTATATTCTAACTTCCAATCTTTAACCCATTACATACGCAATACATTAAATGTGCAATATGACTTAACTTTACAAAATATGCTTCATTATTTCCCATTTTCATCCATGTAGAGAGATCTTCAAAGTACACCAACATAAAAAGCAGAACCAGTGCTGTGTAGCCTCAGTTTAGGATTTTCTCATTGTTTATAGATTACATGAATGCGTTTCATCATGTCTGACCTACAGCGACACAGACTCAGTGAAGTGCACTCCACACTCACAGCATCTTATCTGTGTTACAGTTTAACAGGAATCCGCTGCTCTGAGGCAAAAAAAAAAATAGTAGAATAAAAACATGATTTCACTTTTGTTCTATTTTTTTAAATAATGCCCTTGTAGGAGTTTAACATTTAGCTAAATGACTTGTAATATTTGCATAGACTTTCCAGCAGTCACGGTTCCTGGACACAATAAATGAGTTTTATTTTATTTTCTATTATTTTGCCAAAAATCTGCCCTGAACCCTGTGAACATGGAGGGTTTTCTATCTTCTGCTTTGTCTTTAAACTGAAGCAGAAGAAAAGTTGAAACCTTTGGGTCATTCTTTCAGTTTTTATGATAATATTAGTGTCTAAATGTGCTTTACAGTTGATGTGCAAACTTGCTAAAATTAATAATAATAACTGTATGTCAGCAGAGGACATAATGGCTTGTGGTTTTGGCCGAAACGCTGTTCCCGATAAATCTGACACCTCCGCAGAGTAAATGTGTGAGTTTGTTGTCAGCTGTGAACCAATACACAGTTGCTCTGACATTGATTGCCTTGCTCATGGGCATGGTTACAATTCCAGCTCCTCGATTAGCTGCAATTTGAGGCCCATTAAGTCGACATCTCATCGAAATGGCATTTGGCTTGCTGGAGCTTATCAGACCCGCTTTTTTTTTTTGTTTTGTAATTTGAAAAATGTGATAATTGTCATGAAATCTTGTTTTATTGGGCCGATTCTTCCATTTCTGTTCCGTAATGTTGTAATTTCTGTTAGTTCCTTCAGGAAATGAGTTTTGGAAGGGAACTTTTATGATGATTTATTGGCTGAGTTTTTTAAAAACCTGAGCTTTGCTGAAACCTGTTGGTTTCATTGAACTCCTTTAAAGTCTTGGACTGAATGAACATTTCAGGAACAATCTGTAAATATGAGAAACATGTTTATGGTTCCTTTGTTTATTGTTTCAGACTAAATTATCTGTAACATCTGAGACATTATGTAGCATGTATTTTTTTTTTTTTTGGTGTTTTTCTTTTTTAAGGCTCCCTTTTCCTTGTTACTTTGAACTTTACTAATGAAACCATTCTTTAAGTTTAAAGGTTATAATGCTGTCAAATTTAGTTCTACTTAGGAATTAGACACCATTGTAGGGATGCATGATATCAGCATTAATATCGGTATCGGCCGATATTTATTTTTTAGAATATCTGCATCGGTCCGATATTTAAAACTGGGTAGATATTAACTTCCGATATTTATTTCCCACTTTTTATCTTTGTGTTTGTGTTTTGTGAGGGGAGATGGTTGGTTGAGCAGCATCTGTTTGATCATGATAGTGATAGTGACGCTGCAGCCAGGAATAACTGAAGTAGAGCCATGTCAGAGGTCTGGTCGTTTATTTACTGTATCAAAAAAGACCTAAGTGTCTTTGTGTGTATATATAATATAATTTGTGTGTTTGTGTAATATCAGTAAATATCAGTTATCATCCATAACAGCAATAATTATATTGGATATCAATATCAGCTGAAATTTTCATATCGGTGCATCCCGACACCATTGTATTGGAGTAAGTCTGTTAAAATATTTGAGTTGGCACAAAAGTCTCATAAAATCAGGCTCAGACTGTGTTTTTCTTGCTAATTTAACAGTACACATTAGTGCTGTCCCGACTAGTCGACGTCACCGGTTATGTCGGCTGCATAAATACATCGACATGCACAGCATACCGTCGACACGTCGTTTTACGTGAATACGTCGAAAGAGGAGAAGGCAAAGAAAATGGCGACACCCGGTCTGAGCAGTACACGTGAGGAAGACCCCGATGACAGAGTTCAGCCAAGGAAACGTCCAAAGACGTCGAAAGTGTGGAAGTATTTTAAGCCGAAAGAAAAGGGCTTGGTTGGTTGTTCACTCTGCAAAATGGAGTTAGCCTACCATAGTAGCACTACCGCAATGAACGAACACCTGAAGCGCAAACATCCTGGTGTTCTGCTCGAAGATGAAGGCAGGAGGAAAAGTGCAGATTCGTAAGTCCTGTTGTTATATTGCTTTTTGGCATTAACGTAATATATTAAGAATAATAACGTTGGCAGCAACAGTCTCTGTGGTACTTTCTGATTGTTAGCGTCGACGTTGTCCTCGTCAGAGAAACTGAAACTTACACACTTCAGGCAGAAATATTTTTACATGCAGTGGGCAGTGTTGCTTTCACAAAAACAAACAAACAAAAAAAAACATTAAGGTGTTTCTTTTCCTCCACTTTCTCCTTGTTTACCGAGGAGTTTGCCATTAAAATCTTGACAACACTGTGATTTATACATCGTTTTATGCCTAAGATTTCCATAAATTATTTTTTTAATGGCCGTTAACAGTATTTTCTCATTTATGGATTGATATCGAATTGATAAAAGGGAGATCCAAAATCCTTTCCATAAAATATTTGCCTCTAATGTGTTAACAAACAGAAGCAAGAATTTTGAACCTGTTTTTATCCAGATATTGTTTTTTTATGTAAACTACAGTTTACACAAACTACTACTTAATGTAAACTACTGTTACTATTATTAAAATGGCACTTTTTTATTGCCAGAGAATTATATGGACGGCTAAAATTGCACCAAGTTTTTGGCGGTCTTTCTGAAAGTGACCTAAAGCACATATTTTGACTTTTGGATTGCTTTGCTAAGATTGCACTATATTTATTTTTACTTGAATTATTTAATTTTGCTGGTCACTGGAGAGACTTAAGTGAAACTGTTTTACTT